ATAAATCCAATGAATCCAAAGTCAATATTGAGTTCTTTGCTCTTGACTTCTGTATTGCTCTCAAACTACAACTAAATCAATATTAGAGTCGAAATATATTTAAATACATTATTCAAAATGAAATATTCCCTTCGAAATCATACTTTTACCATAATATAAATATTTGTTATTTATAATAACAAACATGTGTTTATATTTAATTCAATTTGCTATTTTTAATAAACATTATTTACAAAACATATTTTGTGACAATTACTTCAAGTTTCGATGTTATGTCTGAAATCGTTTTAAACAATAGCAAACATTAGGGCACAAAATAGTGTTCATTACATAACACACACTAATTCTTTGCAACGAAACAATTGAATACAAAGTAAATTAATATGCAATTCATTGATTAGTTTAGTATTACTTATACTGTATTAGTATTAAATAATACTATTGTAGATTTTATATGGTGTACATTAGATCGTATGGTGTATTTATTTGTCGTTTCCTTTATTTGCAAAAGTTATCTAATTTTTATTATCGATTTAGTGTTATCTGGAAATAAATTACTTGAACATCAAAACTAGATTTTATATGGTGTACATTAGATCGTATGGTGTATTTATTTGTCGTTTCCTTTATTTGCAAAAGTTATCTAATTTTTATTATCGATTTAGTGTTATCTGGAAATAAATTACTTGAACATCAAAACCCAAATGCTTATCAGATTTGAAACGTTTGTGAAAACACTTTAGAAGAGACTGAATGTCAGATTGTTTTATGACTAATAAAAAAGTAAATGTAAGCAAGAATTGAATTCACAAATGATAAGTGCTTTGCTTTACATTCATTATATCAATTCAATTACAGAATTGCATGTATTTTATGTATGAATTAGTTTTGTAACATTTAAAACACACTTTAATGGAAGCTATTTATGTGTTTTCCCATTTAAAAAGTCATACATTTATTAAATCATTTCGAAATAAACGATAATTACATTCAAAGTGTTGGCCAATCGGTGCATATAATGGTGAAAATGTCTGTAAGTCGTCGAGTTTGCATACATTTGGCCATTGGTTTGTCATTAATGGGAATATTTCTCATTGCGATGGGAATAACATTGAGATTAATCGCAAACTCCAACACAAACTTAAACCGAAAGACAGGATTAGTGGCCACCGTATTAACAGTGATGGGATGTGTTGTCATCATTGGTGTGAAACTATCTCTGGTATCATTACTTTGTGTTAAGAAATTCAGGTGTTGTGCCAAAAATAATAGTCAAACTCGTGTTAAAAGTGTTAAGAAACCCAAACCATTGAAACTACTGACAAGAAGTGGTGACCAGAGTTTAGATAGTGATGAGCAAATGTCGAGCACTGGACATGTGGCCACTCCTAACTGGTCCTATCACTCGAGAGTTGACTTGAAGTCATCATCGCATCCATTACTGAATGAACCCAAGAGAACCTCCTGTCCATTACAGGCCCCGCGAGAGTATGATCTTTGAATGTGATCTCAATTTCTTTAGTCAATCATCCATTGGATTATAAATGACTTTTTTCCCATTAATAACTAAAACCGTTTTAATGTAAATGTCATTTTTGTCAAATAGTTTTATTTTTTATCACTTATTTTTTTATAAATTGATATAAAAAATTTAATTAAGTATTAAATATAAGTTTTAAGGCACAAACAACTTATTGCAAAATCTATTCATTACTATACAGTATATATGAGACATTTATTACAAAAATATTGGGACTTATATTATGTAAATTCTATTTCTCTAAATATTTATATACAATGTAGTCATATATGAATAATATATTATATTATTGTAATAAATCAGTATTTTCTATGTTTAATGAATCGGTGTTTTGTGTTAATCTCATAGCATATGAATATCTTGTGTTTGTCGTGATTTAAGGCTTCCGTTCTTCAGAATTGATTTTAATTGAAATTTATCTGAATTTTGCATTTGAATGGTATTGTTTGGACTATACATTACCGACTCATTTGTATTATTGGCAGCATTTATGTGATTACAATAACTATTTAATTGCTTTTGAATTAATATGGCGTTTGAGGCGTCCATTTCGCAGTTCTAGTAAATTAAATTAATTAATTTCATTAGAGTTATAGTGATTTGTTAGACAATACAATGTATAGCAATGCACTCTTACATCGATATTAGGATTCTTGATAATATCGGGACAATTCTGTGCCTCTAATGATAAGCCGTTTGTTAAGTGCAAGTTCTGGCAATTTCTTAGCAAAACGTGATTCAATGGCTGTCCTATGGATGTACTCGAAGACGAGTGCAAATCATTCATAAGAAGTACTTCGCAATGTTTTCCTGCGTCCGTGTCGTCAATATAAGTCGATTGATCGTCGATTGGCGTCAATGCAGTCGTTATGTCCACCTCTTCCTCATTAAATGCCTTCAATAGTATTGTCTCTCCGTTCACCGCATCCTTATATACCTTGACTTTTACTTTATTAGCATTACTAATGTTGGGTTTGCCAGTCATCTGATCCTTATTTCGACTTTGAATGCGTTTTTTCCATTTAAAATAACAGATTAAAAGACTCACATTTAATACAATTAGAAAGAGTCCCAAAACAAAGATAACGATAATTATTGTTGAAAATGATTTGTTGTGATTAGACTTGGGTTTATTGAATCCATCAGTAAGTGCTTCACTTGAATCAAATTCTGTGGCAAAAGTCGATGCAATTATTGAATTATTAGATTCATTGCCATTACTTTCGCCGAAACCATTGTACGAATGGACAGCGAAATTGTATTTGGAAGCGCTCTCTAATCCTTTAATTATAATCCAATTCCTATCCGTTTCTTTGCTTTGATAGTTGTTTTGTCCGATTGTGTAAAACTTGACTCTAAACGACTGTTTTAGTCCTCCATCGAAACCTGGGCTCCAATTCAGGCAAACGGTGTTATGAGTGATGTTAACGAGTTTAATATGAAGGGGCGGATCAGGTTTTCCACGTTTTCTTAATTTAATGACTGTTTGTGTCTTTCCCTTATCGTTATGTGCAATACATTCAAATGATTTATTGAGTTCGCTATCAGTTATGCTCTTTATAATGAATGCGCTCTGGAATACCGTCTCTGAGATTTGCTTTCTCTCCAAATTGTATCGAAAATACTTCACATTATTATTAACTAAGAGATCGGATTCAGTGCTGAACACCTGGCCGTCGGCGTCCAACCATTTGAACTGGACTTTGGGGACACCAGTGGCCGTACAAACCATTTTCACTGTTTCCGATTCATCCGCCGCCACATTCACTGCCGTCATGTTTAACACAATTTCCGGTTTGCTTTTAATCAAAACCTGCACTCTTTCCACAGCTTCCACTCCAATGCCATTATTGGCTAAAAATAAAATAATTTATTATTAAAAACCCTTAAAATGAGATTAAATTTTGAAACGCTTTAAAGAAATTTTAATAAAAATGGATCAAAGCTTACGTCCAAATGAAAAAAACTACTTTAAAAGCAATCCATTAAAATGAGAAAAGTTTAGATTTCATTATATTTAAGTAAAAGCGCTTTACTCTCGCCTCTAAACCATGAGTTCTGGTGAGACATGCATTGCCGGAGCAGTCATTAGCTTTTTTGTATGCATAATCTGTATGTGCTTTCCATGCAATACAAACCCCGACACTCATAGACTCCGCTATCTCTGTCAGCGCTGACATTGAAGATGGAGAGCACAGACTTTCCCCTTTCGTTTTGTGCGTCAATTCTCTCCTCTTTTATGAAATTAGAGTTTCCTTCTCTTCGCCACCGAATTATTTCATCACTCATTGGATTTGCGACACAAAGACAATAGAGTTGTACCGATTCTCCAGATTCGGTTATAACTGTCTTTGATATGTCAACAATAATTGGTCCGACTTTTCGTACAAACAGTGAGACAATCAATTATAATGCAGAATAAGACTAAACACAGAATACATACACAAAACATTGATTATAATTGTTGTTTTGGTTGAGCCCTCGGTATTAGTGGCCTCGCAGTCGTATTCTCCGGCGTCTTCTCTCAATGCATTTTTTATGGTCAAAACTGGTCCGCGAGATATCAATTGATGTTGTCGTCTGTGTTGGCGATGAGTTGTTATAGCGTTAGAGAGAGACATAGATGTTGTTGTGTCTGATATATCGAGGAGCGGAAGGCTGTCTTTCCACCAAATGTATGATATAAGTGATGGATTGCTTCTCGCACTCAAATTAACTGAAATGTCTTCGCTTTCAATTACATCATACTTTTGTTGAGGCGGTGCCAGGAATTGAGGCTTAACTGCATTTTCGAGTCAAACATTAGTTTAATTACAGTATAATAAATATGAACTCACATAAGACACTAAGCGTAATGTTAGCGCCGTTTCTTTTGCTTAGCACTTGATTAACGGATTCGCAAAAGATATGGCTTTCGTCATCTTTTGCGGTGATGTCTTGTTTTAAAGTACTTCTGGTATTCTTCCCACCAAACGGACCATTCGTTTCCAACACATCAGACAATTTACTTTCCATTTTAATGCCATTTTTGTACCAAAACAAATCACACATCGGATTACAAGAACCGGAATCACAGACTAGATGTAACACATCCCCAGATTTAGGATATTTCGGCTTTAATTTAATAGTCACTGAATCTGATGTATAAAACACCGATAATTTGATTGAAGCACTCAATGGCTTAAAAGTGGCCGCATTTGAAGCCTCGCATCTATAAGAGACGCCGTTATCTCCCGGTTCTGCTCTAATGACGAGTTCACTCGAGACTCCACTTCCACTCATTGAAGTCAATGCACTTATCTCTCGATTCAATCCGACATCACTTCCAATATTCAACACTTGCCATCGAAGAGTCGGCAATGGATTGCCTCCCATTGAAACACCTAATCATAGATAATTTTAATCAACTAATAATTATACACAATTTAAATAATTTGTAGCAAACATGATATAATAAATCCAAAATTAAAAGTACATTAAGAGACTTATTTAATGAAAATATCTTTTAGAAGCTTCAATGTTTAACAAGTTCAAATGCAGATAAAATTGAACACTTTGCTTCATTTTGTTCAAATAGGCAAAATTAGATTAAAACTGCATTAGAACTGCCATTACAACTGCTATTTCATTATAATATTTATATTTTCTATGGTTTACATTCGGTTTAAACAATATTTTAGTTAATGATTAGAAGAAATTGAAATATTAGTTTAGAAATACTTTTATTATTCAAAGGCATAGACAAATCATCACAGATTATGATGCATTACAAGCTTCACATAAATATTAATCTTAATTAAAGCCATTACACAACTCGTTAACATCTTTTAAAACTCCTTATAATCATTAAAACCATTGTTTCGACTAAAATATATGCAGTGATAAAAAGCACTTAAAAATAAAACCCGAAAGTGTTTTATACGAAGAATGCATTATTAAAAGAATGAAAATATGCGATAAATCATAATATTTTATGAGTTTCTATCAATTTTTGATATCTCTTTAAAAACGATGAATAACTCGAAGATTTATAGTCCAAAAAAACTTATTTCAAACAAAATAATCTCAAATAAAATAAAATATATTTCTGTTTTCTAATCAAAACATACTATATTTTTTCTGGTGAAGTATTTCAGCGTAAATAATGGCTCAAAAAGGCAAACAAATAGAAATTAAATGTAAATAATATGAAATGCGCTTAAATATCGATTTTTAATAAAGCGATTGATTGAAAAATATTTTCGATGGAAATTTTATTTATATATTTATTGATGTTTTTATGAAACATTTGATATAATTTGATGAAAATTTTTCTCATGAATTATTCATAAATAGGGAAAGTTTTTTCGGTAAAAGAAAGAGTAGATTTTAAATTAGATTTTGTCTACTTTTGACACATTTTAAATGATAAACGCATACAAATGCAAAACGATAGGCAATGTATCACAAAAAGTACTCACATTTAAATCTATAGAGTTCTCCGGACATTAGGTTTGTTCCCTCTTTATATCCAATAATATATGGCACTCCGGGAGGGTCTGGCCATTAGATACAGAGTTTAATGAATATTTCATATACCAATACAGTATCATTGTATCAATTTCTTATTGTAGATACCATTTCATACATCAAAGTAAGTCCTTTTTGAATACTTACAGAGAATATCGATATTCAAAGTCTGAACAATAGTCTCGCCGAGAGTTTCGGAGACGGCATAACAGGACACAGTTTTAGAGTCGGGATCATTACTGGTCAAAGTGAACGTGATGTTAGAGTTGGTAACCCAACCCTCCTTTGTTTCCACAGTCCATACACTCAATGGCAAAACCGGTCGACCTTTCGATGATAATAAAAAAGTAATCAAAAATATTTAATATTCCGCTAATGACTAGAAAAAAATATTTGTAAAAGTGATTCAAACAGAATTGAGAGCACGTCATGAATATCACGGAATGTAATGATAATTTGTTGCAACATTTTTTTCAAACAAACCTAAAAATAGCACAAATCTAGAAATTTGTATCAAAAAGAATAACAGAATTTAATGCAATAAAGAGAAAGAGAGAAATAGTGGTAACAATTGTATAGATCTAATGATCAAATGCTCACATTTACTTAATTGAGTCAATAAATATTGGATTCAAACGTATATTAATCTCATGGCTTTAGTCGACCCAATCTTCACTTAACACAAACTCTTCAATATTTAATAGTCGTGTGAATTCAATACGAAATTAAATTTGAGTCTCAATGGAGTGAAGACTGGAATCAGTCATTATTAAAGATTTGAAGTAAATTACACTATAAGTAGTCTTATCTCATATAAAGCATTGGTTTGTGTAAATCAATGGTCAACTCTCTCACTGTACCATAGATTAAATATTATTACTTTTGAAGCAATTTAATAAATACAATCGAAATACACTCAATTAAATCATTTTCTGAATGCAAACTCATAATCGTAAAAGTCATTCACTTTCACTACATTTGTTTAAATTGATTAAAACTATTGAATAAATGATATCTTATTTAAGCGTGAAATTGAATTGTTATTATTTAAAATTACTATAATCAATAAAATATACGGGTAGGCAATAAAGCAATATATTAAGTAAAT